CAACCAACCTGGCACAAAAATCAAAGCATCAAATGAATCAGCGATCAGAGGACAAAACTATGGAAATTGCTGAGTCTATTTTCCGGTCACATGACACAAGCTCAGCACACTTTGTCCTTTCTGCACCCTCTGCGCATTCAATGGCATTCCTCCCAACGTGCCTCAGCGGTGCTGTGGAGCGTGAATGTGTCCGAGCTGCTCTTCATAGGAACTTCCTTGTGTGGCCTGCCTTCTGGTTTTACAATGCATTCCAAAAAACAGCAAACAGCTTCCAGAGAGGGCTTCACAGAGCATCACAACAACTGTAGTGGGTCTGGTACAAGCAATCGTCAAATCCGCCATTCAAGTGCTTGGGGAATGTTGCATGGTGGATCAATGATGTCTGATATGATTTCAAGGGCAGTGCACTTCCACCTGTACAGAGAAAGAGCAGTCTTGCCACACCCACCATATTTTCTTCCCTGTTGGAAAATTCATACTCTTCGGACCCTTCAGCAACTGCTGGTTCCTCTGCCGGTGAAGTGTAGCCAAGCAAAGGACCACCCACCAGACGGAGGGAAAGGCGATCCAACAGTGGATAGTCTGATGCCACAAAACAACAGGAAACATCAAAAAGTAAATTGACGGAGGCATTTGTTCATTCCCAATCACTGCCACAATGGACAATCCTCCTAAGCGTCTGCAAGTACTGCATCATATGTTGTAGCTGTACATCGCCATTGATCACTGCTAGAAGTCTGGTGAGGGCTGCAATGAAAATTTTCAAGTGGTGCCAAAAGAGGCACCTGTGTTCCAGGGTGGTTAGCATGGATTTTCAATCAGCAAACCAGAAGCCCTCTACACAGTTGACCAGTACCTGCATATGTTGACGACTGTAGTAAATTCTCAATAAAAACAAGTGGCACTTGCTACCTGCAGCCCTGACAAACACGATATTCAAGTGTCAGAATATCTGTTCAACCTGCAAGTCATGCAGTGTTCCATGAAGTTCCAAGACATGTGTTTATCGCCATCCATTGGCACTGCAAGGGTATGGACAACAAACAGCTTGTCAAACAGTGCCAGAATTTGCCAATGCAACAGACCTCTGGAAATTGAATACTTCACTAGCAGCGATAGAAACTGGATCCTGCACCGGTGATGGTGAAAAGATCTTGGGGTTTGTACAGGGTAAAAGTGTACAGTGTTCACATGCATTGTGTTATCATTGCATTGCTCTATGCTGATGATTGTCTTGCAGTATAGTGCACTTCTCAACCCCCTTTCTACTGCTGTCATGCCGAATATCTTCCAAGGCACGCAATAGACTGCAAGCAAAGTGGTGCTATCTGCAGTGACAAGTGCTGTCCTTTTGGAGAGGGCATCTGCACTGGTGGCCATGGTGTCCACTGAATTAATATCCCACCAGGGGTCCGCCATGGCTGCATATTCGGCAGCACCAAAAACTCAAGCAACAATATATCAAATCACTGGGTACCTTTGCCCTTGCCCCGCTGGACTGCGCCAATGAGCTGCTCCATCTCGCAGGTCCCCGGCTCATATCGTGTGACGATTGTCCTGAGTGCTAGGCCTCTCAGGGCAGTTACAAGAATCAAGCCTGCGGTAAATGGGACGACCACAGGAGGGAACTCGGCTGCAGCTCGCATAGTCTGCAGAAATGTGATTGCAATGGACAGCGATGCCACTTGAAGAAATGCAAGGACAAGGCGCTGCACACCCTGAGGCAAAGCAAATCAAGCAAGCATTGGCTGTGAGACATGAATCCTTGGATTGTATTGGTAATCTAGAATTCAATTGAACTCCTGGAATCTACTTGTGACCTCAGGCCAAAGCAATGCACCCTGAAGGCAGTTGGTGGGAACACTCAGGTACCCACAATACTTGTCCACAAGCGCTCACAGCTGTCCTGCATGACCTGTGATCATGAAAAGCAGTGAAGTTCCATACAGTCTTGGTGTTTGGCCAATTGCAGGTTGTGCTGCACACCGCTGGAAAGGTGCACAACATTGGTGCAATCAGGCAGGTGGTGCAGAGCCCTCACCATTTGCGCTCAGATTTGGATGTGTGCAACACCTCTGTCTATTCCATCAATCCTGACTAGTGGTTAATGCAGTGCATTTTAAGCTGGCAGTGCCTCTGTTGACTTGCTTTTATTGCATACTTACCACAGCATGACAAGGCAAGCCCTTTCAGCTGGCGATGTCGTGCAAACAATCTAAGCACAATGTTATGTTCCCCAAGCATGTTGCTGTCACCCAAACAGCCTCTGTGTGAGGCATTCAATCCACCCTCTCAAAATTACAGGGGGTGTAGGTGCCATGAACAGGCAAATACTTCTATGTTTATCTTTCAAAGCCTCACCTGTTGCATGCAGTTGCAGAAATACAAGTCGATGTGCCAATCAGCCAGCAAAATTTCACAATTAAACATGGTGCATCAGGCACAAAAAGGGTTTGACGCATATCACACAATGTTTTAGTTGCAGCAACTCAATGTTTGACTTTAGTGCAAGCAGCCTGCAACGGCATGCTAACCTACCTCAATCATCACTGGTATTGCACTCCTGCCCTTGTCAAGGGTCCTCAGCTTGCGGAATGAAGCTCTGCCCACAACGAATAGGCTCCCAAGTATGATGGACTCAGCTGATACGAACAGCTCTATCAAGTGTGGCTTGAGCCCAAATCGTAGGAAGTTCAAAATGGGGAATGCAGTCTCTGCGATCCCCACCAGGAAAAACCACTTGATGGCCTGTACATGACGCAGGGGATACACAAGTTAGTGACACAAGGATAACCAACATTGGCCACGTTCGATGTCGATGTCAAAAATGCACAAGTCCCAAGTTCGACATGGCTGCAGATGGATTCCCTCAAACAGCAGTATCAAGGAACTGACCTCACACACCACAGTTCAATGTGATGAGTGGAGTGAGCAAGCCTGGAATGGTAATCTTTGGGCACCAGCATCGACAGCACAGTTGTAGCCACTCCAAATCAATGCAACAAACTATTGCAGTTGCAAAAGTCAAAGAGCCAGGCAATCAGTGTTGCAAAGTGGGTGATACTATAGATAAAATCAACAAGCTGAACCGTTCAGGTCCTCACATACGACATGGAATGGTCGAGCCCGTCGAATGTGGCTTGGTCATCGGGGGTGATTGCATAAAATCCATACCCTGTCTCCACCAAGCCTCCCCTGGCACACAACATGCCCAGGAATGCTTTGTCCATAATCATGGTTGGTGTTGACTTGTTTTGAATATTTGCAAGTGCACACACACAAATAAACCAACTTCTGTTGAAAATGCATGGGAAACAAGCACATGGCCTAGCATTTACTGAAAATACCCAAAAGCAGTGGTTGAATCATGGAAGACTATAAGCATATTTGGGGTTCATTTGCATCAACATCATTGCCCAGCCATACCCTGCACCGAGGAGCATGTGCTGCTACGATGCAGCTCTGACTGTGCCCCGTGACAGGTGCTTGTGTCATAGTCAAAAACTCATACTCAGGTGCCTGTGAGACGGAGTATCGCAAGGTATTCATCTGCATCGGATTGCCTCCAATTTTGTCCTCAATATTTTTCGCAATGCAGTCCAAAATATGAGCATGCCATAATGTCACTTTTAGCATGATCTTGCCCCATACATCATCTGCATCCGGAAGCGTATGTTTAATTATGCCTACAGGCAATCTGCTAAGACGAATGGACTCCACAATGAAAGCAAGATTCGGCGTGGCGTGTCCTAATTGATGTTATTCATGGTGCGTGACTACCCAAGCCCACAAAATAAGACCTGTGTGTACCATTAGGCTATTGCTTGTTGGGTGTCGTTTGCCATTGCCTGGGAAACCTCTTTTTGTTCAATTCGACTTGCATATGTTCATTTTGATTCACTTTTATTCCTCTTGTCAACCGTGCACAGTTATTAGTTTTCGTCGATTCACAAACTTCACGTTGCAATTGCAAGCTGAAGATGCATTATCAACTTGAAGCGTTTAGCTTCCGGAACGTGCATTAACAAGAGCGCACTCGTGGCAGCCCATGGCCTATTGGATGTCTTGCAACTCTCCCAATGCGAGCACCACTGCCCCCCTACAGAGCACAGTGCAATGCAATCATACGAAATTAGGATGCTGCCGTGGCTTCGACGCCAGGCCGTGGCGCAAACCGACAACACCACAAAAAGGAACGAAACAAAGGCGGAAGAAGACACAACAACAAGAGCCTGGGCCCACTGACTTATTCAGCAATCGACAGGCTGCAAACGGGACATGGCCGCGATTGGCGGATTTCATCGGATATGAAACTTCCACGTCACTAATTCGCGATTGCATGCGCGACCGGCACGCATACCCTCGCCCAGTCGTCCATGCGGCACACAGCACGTATTCCGGCGCATGTGCCCCGGAGTGTGTCCAGTACTTTACCCATTACCCAGTCCCGAACATCATGTCCGTCCAGTACTTTACGCGCTCCCGACGGCCGGGGAAAGCTGGCGATCGGGCAGCGAGGTGCGAATGCCGATCTGGAGCTGCTCGCCCGGAACTGTTGCTGAAAGCCCCTGTGGCGTCCCTTGGGGTCGCCCCCAAGGGCCGGCACTTCGATCGAAGCGAGCGCTCACCTGGAGCCGTCAGGCGCCGACAGCGCGACGTCCGCCGAGCTCACCGCCGCCACCAGCCCAGCACCCCCGCAGCCAGTTCTGCTCCCGTGGAACCTGACAGAGACAATATTCGTTGGCCCATTTCTTGGTCGCCCGAGCACCATACCCCCCCAATTGAACAAGGGAGAGCGCCGCCGCCCCCGCGCGGAAAATCCCCACGCCCATGACGCCGAATCTGGCTCCAAGAGAACGCACCGCCGCCGCAAGCACAGATCTCGGCTGGGCTGTCCCGCGTGGCGCAGCCCGCTGCGCAGGGGCACGACGCGAAGGGGGATTGGGCACCGTCCGGCCACGGGCGCCGCAGAAGGGATCCTGGCTGGCGGCGCCTTCGCGACCGGCGCCATGGCGGCCAGCATGGGGAGGCGCGGCCGAGTTGCGTCCGCGCTCGCGGGGGCCGCGGCGTGTCTCGCGCCCTCTCGGCTGGGTGCTGGGATGATAACGTACTGTCGGTGTTTTCTGCGCACACAACGGGGCCACTTGCTTTCAGCAACTGGATAATATCCACTGGCACGACTTTGCCCGATAAATCCCATTCTTCTTGAATTTCCCGCAGCGGCTTGCACAGCGAGAGGGTGTTGCAACGGGGGACAAAGTGAGAATATGTTAGTCCCTCCGTCTTTTCCGTGAGGACCCCTTCTTCTGCTGGCAACGCCAACGCCGGTCAGTGGGTCAGCGGTTTAGGGGTCCCAAAAAAGGAAGGGATCTTCACGGAAAAGGCATAGCGACTAATTTCATATTGGATAAAGCCTTCTGACGTGCGATGCTTCGATACTCATGGCAACAGCTCCTTGGAGAGTAGTTCCGGTAGGATTCTTCGATATCCCAACAGATCGCTCCTTTCACAGAGGCCCAGCAGCGCGGTCAGCATTCAGTCTCTTTGGGCGTGGATTAAGCCTATCCTCAGAATGTACTGTCGTCGGCCTAAAATACATCAGTACTCTGCGGATATGTCAAGACAGCATAGGGCCAGCTTGCAGAGAATAAAGCATCTACAAAGCTCCTGTTGCCATGCTTGTGGGCCCCAGGAGGCCTCGCCACGTGAGGGTCACTTGGTCACTCCAACAACACCGTTTGCTGCGGTTCGTTCGGCTCGTTGGGCCTTCAACACATTTTTCATCGATGTTTGAGACTAAGGGAAGACACTATGTTGATTTTGGCGTTCTTGACCTCAAATTGACGCTAAGGGGGTGGGGTTCAGATGGCATTGCAAATTAACGAGGCGAAACCTGACAAGCTGTATACAAGGAAGAAGAGAGTGGGGTGGCAGATTTGCTACAGAAACAGGCCCGCACAGCGGCACTTCCCAGCAGCGCGGCGCAGGGCTCTTAATCTGGGGTCGAGCTCAGCGTCAAATTGATGCTAAGCGTACCAAAACGGACATACAGTATTTACTCGGCATTAGTAGGCAACCCCTATTAGTATCCCACCCCCTCTTTGGGGGTCGAAACCACGTTAGTATCCATGGCCCGGTGTTAGTATCCACCCCCAAACACAGATAGAAACGAGCGAAGGCACGGATGGTGGCAAGAGAAGTCGGCGGCTGGTGTTGGACTGCGTTGCCTAGTCTAGACCAAACCGTGTTCCCTGCGATTCGCACATCGACGGGGACGATCGGGTCGGAGTGGATGCTGTCAATAGAGTATTTTAAAGGGGGCCAGGGAAAGGCCGCATGGCCGACTGGCCGCTGTTGGCGCTCTCAGCGCAGGATCGCAGGGCATCGACCGATGCTGTGGGGCCCAGTCAAAGAAGCGGTCGAGAAATCAAAGCCACCATGCTTCTGGATTGTTTTAACCTGCTCCCTGGCAGGCCAGTGTAGGTTCCGGCCTGCCGCCTGCCAAGGGCACCCCAATGCCCAGCGCAGGAACGGGCAAGCGACGGCGTTGGTCAGGGCGGCTGCCATTGTGAGACCCCGCCTTTCAAAACTGTCCACAAACCGCTGCCAAGGCCGGGCCCGTCCCCAATTCGCACATTGTACTAGCTACCAGGCCACAAACACAATCAAAGATCGCATCAGCCTTCCCAGCTACCATCAACCCGGGAAAACGCCGCGTTTCAAGCTTATCATTGCGACGTTGTGCCCCAGCGAGTCGAGACCCATGTCGGTCCTCGTTCTTTGCATTGCAGAGGAAAACGAGTTTCGAGCATTCCAGCGAACCCCTATTGGCCCCAATTGCCAGTCGCCACCACCTGGTGCAGCCCCAAGTCAAGGCCGCCAGCTCCTGTGAAGAGACTGGCAACATTCCTCACTAGCATTGCCATTCTTGCCCATTTCTGGGCATTTCACAACCTATCTGTCAAATATTTTCTCTGTCTACTCTTTGGGATCAGGGGTCCAAACCGGGTTAGCATACATGACCCACTATTAGTATCCACCGCTCATTTTGGGGGTCCAATACACGCCTGCTAATACCGGGTAAATACGGTAGCGTCTTCCCCAACTGGCTGAAAGATTCTCATCCGGGAGCGCCTGGTCTTGCGGTGGTGCAAAGTTGGACCCCCGCAGTACTCGAGGGGAGAGGTCGTTATTCGTGCAGAATATTCGTTCCTTAGCAAGACGGATTGTTGTCACCAACTCGTGCCATTCAATCTCCCAATACATTCCGCCCTGGCTCCAGCCATGCCGTGCGTGTCAAAGGGAGCTTTGGCCGGCCTCGGCGGGCGCCTGCGACCGCGCCTGGGACAGGACCCGGGCGGGCCTCCCACCGTGCGCCCTCCACGCTATGCCATAGACGCACGGGCGCGTCCAGAGCGGCCCCTGAGGACGGTCGCCGATCGTCAGCGAGGCCCGCGCCTAATCCGGACCCCACCGCGCAACGGCGTTTCCGACGTCCGCTTGGTCGATCGACAAGGGCGCCAATCCCGTGAGTGGGGCCGCGACAACTGGGCCGGTCGTGCGAGCGAGGATTTCTGCGAGCGGTCCGAACTCCGTGGATTTCTTTTCGTCGGGATTCGCGAATTCTTTCCCGGCTTTTGTCGCTGTTTTCATGCCGGCCTCCGTTTGGAGGCCCATCGCGGAGCTTTCCGAGCGGCGGCCGGAGGCGAGAGATGCGATGCCGCCGGAAATTCGGCGGGCGCATGGCGGTGCTGCCTCTCGCGCGGGTCGTGGCGCTCGGGGCGATCTGTCCCCGGCCGACCGCTCACGTGATGCGGATTTTTTGCCCCAGGTGACGGCCGGTTTGGGGAACGGCGAGGGCGGCGGGAATGGGCGCGGAGCACGAGGCTGGCGGGCTGAGCCTGCACGGGGAGGGGGCGGCCCGGCGGCAGGCGACGTCGGAGTTCCTGTTCTTCGCCAGCGTGGGGGACGTGCAGCGCTGCACCAAGCTCATGCAGCTGTGGAACCTGAACGTGAGGAGTCGAGGAGCCGGCGCTCGGGGCGCCTGGGCGCCTTTCTCGACGGACCTCGGCCGGCACTGGCATCCCGACGGCATCTTTGCGCGCCCGGGATTCGCTCATCCTTCCCGCGTTCGCCCTGCCTGGCGCACAGCCGTCGATCGAGGCCGCCCCCAGGCGACCGCATGGCTTGAGCCCCGTCGCCGATCAGTGGGCGCCGCCTCATTCGCGGGGTGCCCCGGCCGTGGGCTCGACTGACGGCGCTTGGGCGCTTTTCGCGCAGGTGGCCGACCCCGCGTTCCACGACTACGACCGGAGGACCCCGCTGTAAGGCCGCAGCCGCGCGCGCCTGCCGCGTGCCCGCGTCCGCCTCTGTGCCACACCGGCTGTGCAGTTGGGGGCCCCGCGCAACGCGACCTTTGCCCGTGTGCGCAGACACCTGGCGGCCGCGGAGGGATGCCATTCGATGGTGCAGTGGCTGCTTGAGGAGCACGGCGTGGACCCGAACCCGGTGGACCGGTTCAAGAGGACGCCGCTGGAGGTGGGTTGGAGTGGGTTGGAGTGGGGTGGGGTGGGGTGGGGGGTGGGGGGGGGTGGATTCGGCGGCTGAGCGGGGAGCCGGGCAGGGCTGTCCCATCTGGGACGCTGGCGCGCTGCTGCTTGTGATGTGGAAGTGTTGGAGTTTGTCCAGGGAGCGAAAGGAAAGCGTGCATGGCCCTGGGCCGAATCCCCTGCAGATGGGGCGTTGCGAGGCTGTTGTGTGCTGTGGGGGAAGATGCGGAGGTCTCCAGGCGTGGCAGAAAAGCGCAGAAGGCTGAGCTGTGAAACCATTGGTATGCTTGAGTGCAGCTCCTTGTCAGGCGATGGATAATGCCCTTAGTCAGCAGCGAATCTAAAAGAAGCTGCCCATTTACCTTCTGGTAACGTGCAGCCAATAACTTGGGTTCTCTAAGTTATCAACAAAACCGGTGGGAGAATCAGGAGGTTTTGCTCAGGGAGGCGCTGTGCAAACGTGTGACCATGTCCAGTATTTGTGTGTACACACCAAGCATCCCTAACAATTTGCTTTCATGAGCGACTAATGCCCCTGCCCTTTGACAGTAATTTTTGGACTGAATTCAAATTCTTTCTGTTGTCTTACAATGGCAAACCCGAATAGATGGAGTGCAGGCCTCCGCTGCCATGAGCATGTAGCCTTTTGTGCCTCAGAACTGTTTAATGTGCTCTCCAGTGTTTCCCAGCTGTTGGTAAGAATGGGGAGTCATTGCTGTATGTCTGGCAGTCTGAGGAAGAAATTTGAGAAGCCGTTGGAATTCTGGACGCTCCCCAGCAGTGGCTGTTGACCTGTTGCATTGTTCCTTTATTTCAGGCCATGTTGTACATGTTGACTTTGCTTGCATTGGTTGTTTGTTCCACAGGATGCAGTGCGTGGCGACCATAATGAAGTTGGAAAACTGTTGATGCAGCATGGAGCTAAGGTCACAGACAGAGATGGAACACTTGTGGACCTGTCTGAGTCGCACCTGTCGTTAAACATCAGTCTGCTGGGGGAGCTGGAGCCAGACTTCGAAATCGATCCAAAAGACATCACTTTCATATCCACCATAGGTGTGTTAGTTTGTTGACACATCCCATCGCAGCAATCGGTATTGGACGAAGTAAAGCCAGCTCAACTAAGACAAGACATCGGTGGTTCTGTAGCACACAGTGGACACAGTGTGGAGCAGTACAGAACAGTTGGGCCATGTTGATGCTGCATGCTGTGCAATGCGTTGCCCTCATTGCACTGAAGAAGAGCATACACCAGTATTGGTGAGCCCTTGCCTAAGAATATTCAAGAACTGCATAGTGGTTGTGAAAATTGGTGTAACTGTTGGCAGTGGTAATTGAGTCATGAAATCAGGCATGATCCAGCACATGAAGCTGTTTTGGGTACTCGTGATTGTGGCAGCCCTCGCACAAGTGAGTGCTGGCATCTGTGATTTTGGAAGGCATGCCAGGTACCTTGGGCACTCATATGGCCAGGTGCAGAGGCCATCCTAGCTGCTACCCATGTGTTGGAAATACTTCACTATTGAGTGCGGAAACCAGCAGACAATACGTGACATTTTGCAATGGGCCAGGAAAGAACTGGCAACGGTTGTCCGTTCAGTTTGTCTCTGGTTCAGAAAAACACCTTTCTCTTGACAGTGCTCATGGAGTTGGCTGTGAAGCATTTGGCTTTCACTTAGGTCTGAAGCTCCCATCCTATTTGCTGCTGCTGGACACACATTGCAGGTGTTCGTGCATAGGAATGCGATCCAGGTAGCCTGGTCAAGAAAAGTATTGGCTGGCCCCTAGTACATGCAGGCACGAGTTGACCCTCCAGAGTGTGTTGGTGTGACCCCAGACTGCCACGTCAGCAGTATCTCACTCTCCTGGCAACTGTCAACAGGTGAAGGCGAGTTTGGTGTTGTTCACAAGGCACAATGGCACGGCACTGTTGTGGCAGTGAAGATACTCAAGCAGCACACTGAAGTGGCCCTTGGTGACTTCAAGACAGAATTGAATGTTCTTCAGAAAGTGCACCACCCACACACGGTGGGTAATTGCTGAGTCCCTGCTGAGTTGGCTGTTCTATGCATGCAATTTTACTTCCTCGGTGCACATTTGTATTATCTCCGTTCCAAAAATAATGTCCCATCTTGAATTCTAGCTACACTTTGCAAGTCGAACTCAATCAATAAATCCGGCATCAAATTCGGACGGAACCTTTGGTCGATTATGGGTAAATGTGGATCTTGGTTACATTAGTCATCGCCATACAGCAAGAAATTCACAACCCCATCAAAAGGGAACCTATTTAACTCTATACCAAATAACATTGAATCTGGTACCAAACTGCTGCCATACCAAATAAAATTGGAACTATTACCAGTGTATATTGAATCTGGTACCAAATTCGTGCCGGTACCAAAAATGTTGAACGGTGTACCAAAAATGTTGAACCACTACCAATTAGTCATCAAATCGCCATCGCCATGAGGGCTCAATAACCCTAAACCCTAAACCAAGGGCAAGCCCAATGCTGGTCGCAGGGCTGGTCGCAGGGCTGGTCGCAGGCCTGGTCGCAGGGCTGGTCGCAGACTGCTATTCGATGACTATATCGTTTGCTCTGCGCATTCTGTTTTGAATTCAGCTGAATCTTCAGTGCACACCAAACCGCTAGTTCAATCATTGTTCCTAGAGACAGCTCAGTTCGATCCACCTGCTCCGAAAGGTAAGACGAGTTCGCCATACTCCTCTAAAGGTCCCAACAAAATGAAGAGTGGCGTTTCACCTCTTCTTAACACATAGCAAGAATGGCAGCGCAGTTTGCCACGTTCAAGGGCTCTACGGGAGGCTCCTGATATGACATCAAAGTTGTTTTGGGTCACTTGTTCTAACTTGCATGTTTTCACCTCCATTCGCGCAAATTACATATGCGACACAATTTTTCGTCTGGAGGTGGTATAATTGCTTGTTGTGGGGCTTGGGCGATTAGTGAAAACAATGTTTGCCTGTGTTTGAGTCTGCCAATGATGTGTTCGAAGAGGCTGTTCTCTCAAATACATGCACAGGCCTTTCTTTTCCTGTGTATATTTTGGGATTTTTTTGTGCGGAGTTTGCCACAAGAATCAAGGATAGAAGGCCAGGAGTTGATCATCAGGTGTCATGGCTCTTTGGCTGGGAATAATGGGCTTCCTGTGAGCACCAGCTTGAAATTTTTGACAGTTCAACCTTCTCTCTGTGGTCCGCATGGCAAGTATTCAGGCACGCCGTGCTTTCTGCTGGTGATTTTTATATTTAGTGGAGCTGTGGTTCCCCAACAGTTTGAGCTTCCTGAGAAGCTGATATGCAGTACTGCCGATTGTAGGTTGTGGGCATGCAGTTTTCAGTTGTCTTAATGATGTGCCTGTCCGCTTCTCACATTACAGCCGGGCCCAAGGATGCTGGACTGGGAATTGGGGACTCGGGGGTGGAGACATCTGCACAAACCAGATATTCTTCTGCCTGTGCTGCACACTCTCTCAGAACTTACAGGAAATAGTACTGATGTTATTCGCCAAAATGCATGGAGCTCGCAGCACTCAGTAGTATTGCATCTCAGGCCGTTGCTGGTGGATCTCCAAGTTTTCCGTAGCCTGGAATCTCATGCTGTCAGTTGGGCTGGCATAGTTCACCTGAGAAAAGTTAGTGTGTGTTTTGTTGCTTCGATCCCATAGGTTCAGTTCCTTGGAGCTGTGACTCGAAGTGAGCCCTTCATGATCGTCACGGAGTACATGGCAGGGGGCTCTCTCAATGACGTCTTCAAGTCCGGCATCTATCTTACCAACCAGCGGGCTGTGGAGCTTGCCCTGGACTGCTCTCGAGGGATGTCCTATCTCCACATGCGTTCCCCCCACTGCGTCATTCATCGTGACCTGAAACCCGCCAACCTGATGATAGGCGGACACGGCTTCACATCCCCCACTGGGGCCCACCGCATGATCACTGAGACAGGGTGTGTCAAAATTGCCGACTTTGGTCTGTCTCGGTCCATCAAGACGAAGCTGTACACACGCCATGCCCTGATCGACCTTGAGGCCATGGTCGCTTCAAGAACTGTGGAGGCCAGCAGGCCACCGCCCCAACCAGACGCCCTGACAGAAACTTACATATTGACAGGTGCGGTTGTGTACATGGATGGTAATTTTGGTCACTTGTACGTGATGGTGTGTGTGGGGGGACCCTTCATTTGGCTAACATGACAGCCACATACATTGTATGTGTTGTAAAGTGCCACTTTCTACGTGTGGTAGTTTGTCACATTTATTCACTGTTGACAAAAATGGCCCAGGCCCCTCCAAGACGATGAAAGGCAGTAAGTCAGTGCTAGGCTTGTGTTTCCTGGTTGCGGATCTCCAGATATTGTTACAAAGTAGAAATGCATCCTATGAATGAGGCCAGCATTGACCACCATGCTGAATGCCTGTGCACATGTTTAGATTGTTGAAATGCGCCTTTGTTGTTCTTATAATGTAGCTTTGTTGTTCCTATGCCACCATGCAATGCCTCCAGACTGTGCGAGTGTGGAATGACCAGCTGCATGCCTGTTGGGCAGGCGAGACAGGCTCCTACCGGTACATGGCCCCAGAGGTGTTCCGGCACGAGCCTTACAACAACAAGGTGGACGTGTATGCATTTGCCATGATCTGCTATCAGCTCTTTGCCGGGGTGCCTCCGTTCTGGGAGTACGACCCAGTTACAGCTGCCAGGGCCGCTGCCATCGAAAAGCAGCGGCCGGTGTGGGGAAATGTGTCGCAGCATGGCCAGAAGATACCGGTCAAGATTAGGAAGCTGATTGAAGACTGTTGGGACGAGGAGTTTGAGAAGCGGCCAGATTTTTCGACTATTACAGAGCGATTGCAGGAGGTTTGGGAGGACCTTGACAGAAAGGCATTTGGCAAACCCCACGGCTGTTGCAAGGTCCAGTGATGGTGTATTTTTGATTGGGATTCGAACGATCTGGGAGAGCTCGCCTCGGAGAGACTCTGAACAATGCAACAAGTCACGAGACAATTCATGTGGGTTTGATGCTGCGAGGACATGGACCGGGACGTCGGTGGGCTCTGCCGTTGGCCGTTGCGCTGAACTCATATTCTTAGGAAATAAAATACGGGCTGCTGTGGAGTTGTGTTTACAGGGCGGGTGGGAGCTGTGCAGTTGTATTTACTTGGCGGGTGGGAGCTGTGCAGTGTGTGGGTTGTGGTGTGCTGCTGGGCAACGCTGTTGCCTCCTTTTGATTCTTTTATTGTCATCGGCGCCTTGTGTCATTCATTTCAACTGTCTTATTGGGCCCTAGACGTTTTCCGTTTCGAAGGAATGGATTGAATTTTATGGCGGGCTAGGACGGTGGGGCCGATGGCCTGCGGTGAATATGCCTTGCAGCTCGTGGTTTGCCTGAGAAATAGGCTCTGCACCATAGGCACCCGAGAATTTTTATCGTTGGAAGGCATGGACTTATGGTTGCCTCGGGGATACAAACCAGGACGGTGGTTCTCAGTCACTTGAGACTTGCACTCATGCGCTATGTCTATGCACCTGTCCAATTGTCAGCAGCGTTCCACCAAGCTGTCGTGCGTCTATGCTTGCTTTCATTCTCCAGGGCTCTGTCTCCCATTGCCTACAAGGCGCAAGGCAATGCACTGTCACTGGCACCAATGTGCCTTCCCATTCTTGGGGTAATACCAAGTTGGTACTACCAACCGCACTTGCATTTCGGGTTGTCGCATCGCGGTGAGCTGATGGCGCACAAGCTGCCTGTGCCAGCTAGCGTTCCAAAATCCGTGCAAACGAGGGAGCAACGGGCGGTGGGTGTCGCTCATCTGTTGCAGGAGTTTCAGCACCTCAAATCGATCCTTGTCCATCTGCATCCAAGATGACCAGGCTTCAAACACCCTTTGCCAAAAATTTTCACAAAAATCTTTGTGCGACCTCAAACACCATGCAGCCACCCCAAAAAATGGTGCTCTGCGGATCTAGACCCAGCCGCCCACCAGGTCCCTTTCCCAAGGGGCAGGCTGGAACCCTTTAGCCGTAGCGGCGCGCCGGCGCCATGCGGACAGCCCGCGGATCGGCGGGCCGCCTGGCGCTCTCCCCGGTCCAGGCAACGAGCGCTGCCGCGAGCCGAGGCTGTCGACTGTGCGCGTCTGACTGCGCAGCCTGCGCGGATGCCAATCCCAGGCCGCCGTGCGCGGCGCCCGCGCAGGAGGTCTCCCGTCGAGGCCTCGTAGCGCTGGCAGCTGCATGCCTGGCCGCGAGCGAGGCCTGGGCGGGGCAGGCGGGCGCCACTTCTCCAGAGGTGATAATCGATCGAGGGGCGGGATAGGCTCGGGAATGGGTGCTTTGCCATCACTTGCGCCGTGGGCGTGAATCGGATCTGCGAAATGGCGCCAGCTTAAGGTTGAAACTTAGCGGCCCACAGTTTATTTGTGAGACACCACGAAACCCTGACAGTGACGTGGGCTCACTGACCATAATGGGGATCAGCAGGGCTCCGAATTGGCCATTGAACAGTTGGCCTACTGTGCACAATGGCCGCCTGCAGTGCGGGTAATCTTCCTCCTATTCCTGCTTCGCAGTTTCAGTGCCTTCTGTAGTCAAACACAGTCGCTCTGGTTAACATAGGTCGTGGATGCAGTGGAGGCTGGAATTGAAGTGTACGATGCGGCTTTCAGTCTCTCGCTTCTGGCGCTCCAGGGCTCTGTGCAGCAATCCTGGGTGCAGGAATTCAAACAGCTGCTGGGCTCCCCACACACCGTAAGGCTTAAGAACAAGCCCCAGCTGAAAGATTTGTATGCCAATCTGGAGTCTGGCGATGTGAGAGGTGTTGACCTGGTGTCCGTTGGGGACACATGGATGGGCATCGCCATCAGTCAAGGACTGATCAGGCCGTTCAGGAAGGCGGAGAAGTACAGGTTGGTTGCGTTGGCCACTAGCTGTGTGTCTGACGACTGTGAAGAAAGATTGGCAAATGGAAGTTGATGCAAGAGGATGGAATGGGTGGAATCCAAATTTCTTACCAAGCATTCGCAGCACCACAGCAGCATCTAGTCCTGTTGTATATATACTTGCCACATGACAAAGCAAGCCCTCTCACCAGCTTGCAGATGGCAGGCGCTGGTCTCAAGCACAAGTGCTTTTTTTCCAGCAGCATGGCATCAGTTCTGCCAGAAAATCGTGGGGAGGTCTGCTTGCAGCAAGTGAAACTGGAGGTACTTTGTTCCAAAGTGCTGAGGTGGACACTGTCAACACTGTCTCTGCAGTGGTACTGCTGGTGCCACAACAGCAACATTTAGACACTGGGATGGCGCACAGAACTCCTTACAAACGCTGCAGGAGTCTGCATTGACCATGATGTGAGACCAAGGCAATGGCAGGTGCTGATGTTTCTGTCCTATTTTGCTCTGATGAATGCCGTGTTCGTTAATGGTCATTGGGATTGACTTGGATTTCTGGCAACATCTGTCAAACTGCAGTTGGTGGGCTCGTCTTCCCTTGCCCTGGAAGACGCTCGTGCGCAGGAGCTTTGATGGTAGCACCAGCTCAAAGGGGCCCGTATGGGGAGCACCGTATAGATGGGGGTGCACTGTTGTTGGTTACCGCCAAGACAAGTTGAGAAAGTGAGTTTTGTGTGTCAAAGAGACTTCTGTGAACGTTCTGCATCCTATTTTGAGTTGCAGAGCTGGCTATGTTCAGATTTTGAAACATGGATACTGGAATTTCAACGACACACTGCTGCTGCACCTCCAGGACTGTGATGCGCAGTATATGCAGCCACATGTTTGCTCCCATTAGGGTCGCATGCAGCTTATCAGCACAAAGTAATAGCGAAATCATCTTGTCGTCGCACGACCTATCGGCACGAAGTAATGGTGAATCATCCCTTCATCACTACTTGATTTGTGGTGGCCTGGGTATTGATTTTCAAAAGTTGCAAGCATAAATCTTGTTTGCTCAACATCTTCCGAAATGATCCGATTGTGTTGTGCTCTGAAAATGTCCCAATCGTGTGACTGTTGTGTGTGTTGCACACTCGTGTATTGTGATACCAGAAACACACTACTCTCCTGTCTGCCATGTTTTTGCCTCATTTGCCAACATTGTGATTTGACACTGGAATATCAACTATTGTCTCCCTGCACTCTTTGGTGTGCAGCTTCTGCAGCTCAATACGATACAATAAGTTTGGCATTGCATTCGCAGGCAGGCCCTGCAGTGGACAGTGTCCTGCAATGGACGTACACCCAATATGCATTCCGATGTTTGCAGCAGCATTGGTATCTTCCCTGTGCCTGCAACTGTTGATGTGCAGAAAAGTTCAATGCCACAGAGTGACAACCTCAAATGAACACTGAATGCTCAAACAGTTGTTGTCACCCAGGTTGTAGGTCTACAGATGCAACTACGGAAACACCTGTGAGGGTCGTTTCTTTCACCTTTAAATCCCACAAAACTATGGTAAAGCATTCTTCCTTAACCCTGAAGGGCCCATCAGACTATCTTCAGTTGCGCAGCCTGCCTCAATTAATAATAACTTCCATGCCCAGGGTGTTTGTCCAGCCTTGTGTTCCTTGTGGGTTGTTTGCGCTTGCACAAAATAGTGTATCGTTGCCGATGTTTCACCCTGAACATTGAGCTGTTTCTTCATGCCCACACGTTCTGTCAGTGTGAGTGAATCCAAAAATGGCCTCAGTCACTGAAATTTGAATTGTGTGGAAGTGTTTGTATGGCAGTGTTGGGGTAGCAGCACCCAGAGATTGGAGCGATCTTCTTCACCCCAAATTCAAGGGTAGAATTGCATTTCCTGCATCTTCGAGAGGGCTGGTGGGAATAGCGCTGAAGACGCTGGGCCTGGGCTTTAACAGCAATGCCAATGACCTGAGAGCTTGGGGTGTTTCAGAGACTGCACTCAAGAAGAGAGTTCAAGAACTCAAGCGCCAGGCATTGCTCTTTGATGACAGGTGATCCTGGATTTTTGATAGAAATTGTGTGTCAAATGGACGGATTTCTCTGCTGTCGTGGGGCTTTTGGCACTGATGTTGGACTTTTTGTCCGTGTCATTTTCGCCTGGTCAAGTTCATTATTCTGGCATGTTCTCAATGGTGCATGCTCATGGGCCTAAAGGCGATGGTACTGGCTGTAGAAAGCTGTGCTGCTTGTGTGCATGTTACAATTTGGCAGCTTGGGCCCATTTGCATGGCAAGAAATGGTCAAACGAAGGAATGCAGAGTTCCGTGAATACGTTTCCTTCACACCAGGCAAATTGCAGCCTATGTGGAAGGAAAGAAGAGCAGTGATCCGGCCATGTGCGGCTCTGCTTGATACACACTTCCTAAACAAATGTGTCCCTGCAAAGGGCCTCATGGCAGTTTTTTCTGCCCTTCCATGAGCGATTGGACTGTGCACCAGCAGCTGCCAACACACTTGCACAACATTAGGACTATTCGTTTCATTGCTGGCTTGAATTGAGCATGTGTGGACTGCAGAGATAGCTGCTGTCAGGAGCTGTGCTTGCCTCACACAGCACGGGACTTGGTTTGTGTTTCTTGCGCATGGCTGAGCATTTGCACAGATCTGTGCACAATTTTCTGTGTGAAAGTTCATCCTTGACAAGCTGCAGAAGTGATTGCCTGGTCAGTGAGAGTGTTGTTCAATGGCAGGGAGCACGTGCGGGCCTTTGCTTTTGGAGATGCATGGCTGGTGGTGGGCTCCTCCTTGGATGTGATGGCCCTCTCAGCAACAGTCTCTCAGGCCCGGCTGTTCGTCCCCGCCTCGGGCACTACCCTCTGGGCGGACCTCTTTGTCCAGCCTTCCAGTTCAAAGGCCACCCGCGACCCCGGGGAGCCGTCCCCCCTCATCCCCGCTTGGCTAGATTTCATCCTCTCACCCAGCAGGTCAGTCACGACGACAGGGCTGAAGAGTGGGCTGTCGCCACTGCTGCTCCCAGACACTGGAGCCGAGGGCGCACCAGGCCAGGCATGTGGTTCGGGTATGAACGGCACAGAGGGGTTGAATGTGGCGCTGGACGTGAAGGGGCGGTTCTTGCCACCGGGGTGCGTTCTCCAACGGAGCGAGTTCCTGCTTCCCCTCGACAGGGAAACCACGGACCTGTACAATCGGATGCTGGGGTGATGTGGATCCTGGGTGGGTGGGAGTGGGGTGGGTGAGATGGGTGCCGGTGCATGTGGGTGAGCCAATGCGTCTCTCCTGTGGTGCTGGTTTCTGTGTGCCACCGCTTTGCGCACATTTCAGGATGATCCATACAGAGGACAGGGGCCGACGGGCACGCGATGTGTCCATTCATGCAGCCGCCTCTGTTGGGGTTGTCGTCAGTGCCGCTTCCCCGCCAAGGAGCCATGCTGTGCAGGTGCCACTTGTTGGCATGGTGACTCCCTGAGTTGCCTGTGGCAGATAAAACGAACAGGTTTCGTGGAATCGACTTTGCCATCGCCACAGCGACAGTGAGTTGGTGCGCAACTCGCAATGACTTGTTCCCTGCCCCATGGACCACTGTGCCGCTTCCTCCATCACTGCGTTGGTGCCTGGTCCTCACCCAGGGGTGTTCAACAGCTCCCCATGGCCACTCCCAACCTGGCGGCGGCGCCACTCGTTTTGGCAATGTACCTGGGGATTCTCATGTGAACGGGTGAACATGGGCACTGTCGATCTTTCGCATATCGCACGGGTGATCCGGACCAAATCGGTGACAGAGGTTTGATGCGCCGCACTGCAGCCTACGCCTGAACAGTCGGCCCAGATGAGCGTGACATGTTGAAGAAAGCAAATTCGCGTGCAACGCTAAACCAGGACCTGGTGAATTCCCTAAGAGCTCGCCATTGTGTCTAAACTGGCCGCGAGAATCGCCTCTGGAATGCATCATTCCCCCCAGGCCGCACTGCACCATTTTTATAAAAGTTACTAGTTTTATAAATATTTTTACTTTTTATGAAATTACATACTACTTTTATAAAGTCAGCAACCAAGAATTGTTGCACTTTCTAGACGGAGAGGCCGCCAACGACTGTCCTTCGCCCCGCTGAACACTTCGCCCTTCCAGTGGACACAACAATACAGGCTTGTTGCACCCACAAACGCGCGCAAACAGCCAACAACCATAGCCCAAAACACACGTGCATGGGCATAATATGAGCACAGAGGTACTCACAAACAAGGTACAAACGTGAATGAATGGGCTTAAGTATATCCACAGTCCCCGCAAACAGGGCAGCATCATATATGCTCTTAGGTTCGCACAAACAGAAGCAGCAAGACGGCCACCGCACCCGTAGACGAAACTCTGCGCGTCTCCGCGAGCAGCCCCGCCCGCCCGTCGCCTCCCCGCGGCCCACAAACGCCGGGCGCGGAAGCCGGACTGCCGCCGCGCCCCGCAGCTTCCAAACGCATCCACCACCCCACCCCCGAGCCAACCAGATCTATGACATATACCACAACACCGGCGGCATTGTGCGGAGCTCACCACCACAACCCCCCCCCGACAGCACCTTCAAATTATCTCCAAGCGCGTCTCCCTCGCGCACACAGCGCCACCGAGGGGCCGCCAATCTGCTGGGTGGAAAGGTGCTCTCAAGCGGCTGGATTACCCTCTTCCTTGCCCCCGGCCAGGTGGTTTCGTAGAGCAGCGGGACACCCCATCCCGAGGCACCCGGTTCGATCCCCGGTCAGACTCCTCTTTGCCATCCGCACTGAAACGCAATCGCCGCTCGCTCCCGGCACGAAATTGGTCGTTCTGTCTTTTGCGTGAAGATGCCTTCTTGTTTCGGACACCCTAAAACCTAAAACACCGAAAACCACCGACCGGCGTTGGCCTGGTCAGCGAAAGAAAAGGCATCCTCAAGGAAAAGATAGAGGGACTGATACATGTTCTCCTCCCTCCTCCACGTGGGGACCACGTCAACGCCCGGCCACATTCCCGCCCCCTGCCGGCCGCCAACATCCCAACGGGCGGCCCCGCCCCCATTAGCCCACCTCATCCGCCGCCCCCCCCCCAGACCATGGGTGCAGCCGGCCCGCCGGAAGCTTCCGCGGCGAAGCTGCCCAGCGCCGCGCGCGAGCCCCCCCTGGCGCCATGGCGGGCGGACCGGCGGGCCGGGCGGGGCCGAGGAGCCCCAGCCCGCCGCGGGCGGCTTACGGCATCTCGGCTCCCGCGCACAAGGCCAAGGAGCCGCAGGAGCAGTTCGCGCACCGGACGCGGCCGTACATGGTGGGTCGTCCCTCCCCCCACCCCACCCCACCCCACCCAAGCGCGATTTGGCCACCTCGATTCCGCTGCGCATGTTTTGTGAGGCGTCAAGCTGAACTGAGCGGCGTCGAGTTTTGCCGCCAGCGTTGGACGCCGGGCGGGCTAATTTGGGAAAGTTTTTGTCAAGAGGGGAGGGAGCTATTTTGAGGCGGGGTGCGCACTTGTCGGGGAGAGCGCCCTGCTTGGGCGGAAGCCGTCTTGGGATAGCTGAGTAGTGACTGGGTGCTGAGAAGGCGTTTGCGCCGGCGGCGGGTGTTGGCGGATGCCGTGTGCTCTGCGCGACCACGCGCTCTCGCTCTTCAGGTGGCCTCAGTGAGGAACGCGCGGCGGGCGAGAAAAAGGTTAAATCTTTGCAGAACCTTTCTGGGCGCAAGGCAGGGGGCCTCGCGAGTGCATGTTGGTTGCCGTGATGATGGCGAGGAGGCTGCTGGCGTTGCGGGCGTCCCGTGTGGGTCTCGGCGGGTGGGGATCGAGCGGGCTGATTGCTGAACCGAGGGTCAGCCGCGGCGCCGCGTTTCGGGTCTTGGCGCGCAGTGCTGGGGGTTGTTCACCTGGATTGAATCCTCACCTGCTGGGGTCAGAAAATCGGGTGCCGTTTTGGCCGTGGAGGAAGGAATGGTGCCCTGTCCAGTGGCGATGTCTCCGCGATTATGCAGGTAGATTGTCAGAATAAATGCCAATATAGGCCTCAGTAAATTTTCTTCTTCGCATGCCAAAGTGACCAAGGAGGTGAAACGAGGACCAGTCTACCATCGGAGCATTGTGCAGTAAAGTTTAGGAGCTTGTCCATTTCTTCTGTGCGCTCATAGGTCAAAGTTCGTGCACATGTTGGTGGCGATCGTGTGCTGACAATGTGTTGTGCACTTTGGTGCGCAGGGGACGCGTTGGGAAGCCCGCTACGACCAAACGAAATTGAAGAATGAACTTCATGGGCTCAGGCGCGATTTCAAGGTCTGTCTCGTCCTGCATCGATGGGGGAAGTGAGGTTCAATCTTGCGCTTCATGCACTCAGTTTAACGAGCGCTCTCCGAGCCTGGGACGCCATGTTCTTTGGTCGCTAAGCGAGAAAAGCCTTGACAAAGATGGAGCCTCCTATCTGTGGTACGATCGGCTGCGCCGTGATGGGCAATTGCCGCAACAGAAAACGCTTGGGCGCAAGTGGATGCCACGATGGCACGGCCGAAGTCTCGACCACATGAGTACACTCTGGGCTGAGCCCCTCTTTTGGTAGAATGTGGTGTAAAGGCTTTGTGCTTTACAGTCGTCGCTTGTACCAATTTTCTTTCTGAATGGGGTTTGATGGTAAGTACTCGTGCTTGTAAAAATTGCCGTCCTGTGCTTCAGCAGCAGCAGTCCGCGCTCCGGTTTGTGAGCCCTTCGAAGGCTAGCATCGGTCACACAATACTCCTCAGCGAGGGTATGTGAGCACAGTCGGACAACTGGCGGGGGCGGGGGGTTGGTGGGAGTGTGGCGTTCAGTGACCGGCTTCCCTGCAGGAACTGACGCGGCACCATGGCCGGGCAGAGGACACAGTGTGGCGGCTGCGAGAAAGGCTCAAGGACCTCCGGGTCGAAGGGTCTGCGAAGGACAGGAGCCTCGATATCGCAAAGCGCTCAGTCGATAGGCTCACCTCGGAAAAGCAGAGGCTGGAGGTGCGCGAATCCTCGCTGTCCTTCCTTGTGAAGGAATGGCGTACATGGAGACAAATATTCCCTTTAATTCTGGATCAAGATGAAATGTGCGCTCATGTTCTCCCACCTCAGGACAGTTGATAAATCTCCTCTGCATTTTGTCGCCGGTCCTGGAAGCGACAAATCAAATAGGGCTCACTATTTTCTGTTCATCGCAGGCGTCCCTGGCATCTGACAAGGCGTATATCCGCAAATTAGAAGCCAAAGTTTCGGGATTAAAATCGTCAGCGGACCTCCAGGCTCGATGCAACTTCTATAAAAACAAGGTTTGAAAGATGGGCGGGAATTTTGGGCCCTGGAATGTCTACAATTCTCTAATTTCAATTGATGTTTATGGGCATCCATATCTTCATGTCGGATGCCATCAAATCAGATGGAGAGATATTTCCATGGCCCTAAAATTGTATGAAATCCAGTTTAACAGGTCAAACCAAACCATGTATCCAAATGGATGCATCCTCCTTAATGATCAAGGTATTCATATTAATTAAGTAGTCATTTCCTCGATAGAGGTTATCTTCTCTTCACCAAATTTGGTGCAACAGACAATGCTGGGCTGCACATTTCCTAATTTCCCTGCCAAGAAATGCGCCGGAGGCATAAACTCGACAGTGGAAAATGTTTGGAGCGAACTCTTACGATTTCCCAAAGCCCCCTGTGGCTGACAGGAGGGCAACGTGCACACACTTGTGTCATATTTGTGGTTTATTTCCCAGAATTCACCGGAAAATGTGATCCCTCGGCAGCATGATTCATTGGTAAATTTGCTGTTCGTAGGCAATTGGACCATGGAAAGCGGAATGAAAGTGAACCGGTGTCACAGGCCAGGGAGCTAGAAGAGGAGGTTCGCGCTTGCGAGGCCCGCCTGCACGCCAGCGAGGAGGTCTGCAGGCACAGGGGAGAGGAGGCGCAGCACCTACAAAGAGCACTGGATTTGAAGGCCAAAGAGCTGTCCATGGACGCAGGGACGGACGTGCATTCTCGTCTCCTATACGCAGTCGCAAAGGTGGGTCACCCACCTCATGCTCTGGAACAGTCACTGCTGCTTAGATTGAGCGCATTCTTCATGCCGCGCCATCGTGCAATGATTGGACGCTAGCCAAATGTTGCTTTCCAGAGAGTGATGCTGATTCGGTAGCTTTTGCTACCTGACCACTTCTTGAATTTCCTCTACAGGAATATTCTATGCTAACATTTCGTCCGCTGAAACCAGGGTGTCTTCCTAAATTTGCAACAAGCTTATATGAGTCTCCTTGCCAAAGTTGCAAAGGCAACGGCAACGCCATCACAAAAATGTTGAAATTTAGTAAATATTCTGTCCAAGAAACTCCTTGCACAAATTCTCTTTTGCCTCATGATCGTTCACCCTGTGGTCCACCTTGAAATGACAAGCGAGGAAAATTCTCGATAATCAACACAGGAAGGTTGCCGGTGCTGGGTGCATCCAAGCAGCGCTTCCCTATTACCGATTCTTGTGCAAAGCACATTCTGCATGACTCAGGGCGAAGAGGAATGCGTCAGTTTGGCGTCCCAGCTGGCTGATGCGCGCGGTGCAGTGCGGCGCATGGAGGAGCAGCTGAGGCAAAACGAAGAGGAAAGCAAAAAGCTGCGCGAGGTGAGGCAGCGGCTTGCATGCCTGCATGGATTCTGCTTATGTCGCATTGATTCATTTCTCCTCCTGGCAGTATTGAACGATAAAATGTATGCGCGGAGATATCTAATTTTCAAATAATGACACCATCTTGTTCGAATGTTCGATTACCACGCATTGCCCTTCATTGTTTTCGTGAATTCATTTATCCCATGAGCGATGTAAATCGCCCGCGCAATTATGGGATACGTTTCTGGTCAGAAAGTGTAATTCAGCCATGGATTGGGTGACACGTAATTTGCCATAGTATTCTAAATATATGTCGATGCTGCATGGTGGAATTTCAGTGCATAGAAGCGATGCTCTCACTGCCTGAAGCTGCCTTGATCCAATTTCATTTGGGTCCGCGAGGTCCAGACAATCATTGAAAAGTCTCACAGACATTCGCCGTTGTGCAAAGTGAGCACTCCAAATGGCTAGTGAAAATGTGCATCAAAGAGCACGCGTGTCGCACGTTTTCTCGCGAAGTGCACGTCCACCTCCCGATCGGGACTTCTACAACGCATCCAACAGGCAACCAGCGCTGCAAGCCCAATTTTCTTTGCCATGCGCCTCAGCAAAGCAACCACGCTGGACACCACACCGCGGCGCTCGAACAGCAGCTTGAGGACGCCGCCGCCACGTGCCGGCAGTATGAGAGGGAGACAGAGGAGGTGCGAGCCCAAATACGGGAGCTGCAGCGCAAGGTGGAGTGGGCCATGCTGGACAAGAGCGCACTGGAGGAGCAGATAGACCAGGAGCGCAGCGCCAAACAGGCCGTTGAGGCGGGGATTCAGGACGCCAAGCGGCTGGCGCAGATCGACGTGAGGCAACCATTCAGGAAGAGCGCCGCGTTTTGTACGATTCGCTTTGCGACCCTTTCGGTTGAATGTTGGGGCGATTCGGGTATTTTCAATTGCCAGACATGGCGCAACGGTAATTTTACGTGATTGAAGGGAACGCTTTGTCGCGAGCGATGCCTGTCTCGCTCCAAGAGAGCATAGTGCAGATTTCCATCTTGGATTGTTAGTATGAGGTGGGGCAGGACACTTTGATGCCCTCAGCTAGAATAATATCACTGATATGTGTCTACAAGCCCAATGCCCGCACTGCTCCCATTAGGCATATATCAGGGATCGCACCCCGTTTGCTGTATCCACAGAATAGAATACCTGGGTATTGTTCAAAATGTTCTGATGGTTTCTGCCTCTTCATTTGCATGTGTGTGCAAAGGACATAGCGTAGCTCCATCTGAAACAACTGCAATCCACTGAGACGTTCCCGGCCGCAAACATGTGTGTCTGTACATTTGCAAAGGTTTCTTTCTGGATGCGCGCACAGCGATCTCCCGTGTAAAGGAAAGCGGGCTCCAGGAATTGATTTGTGCAGCACACACATCATGTATGCGGATGGCAGCACAAGCTCTGTTCAATGTATCCTGGTGCATCGGAATTGGTGCATCCGCTTTCAGGCTGAGAACATACAAGCCGAGATGTCGGTGTTGCTGGAGAAGTCCAAGACAGAGAACGCAGATCAGAGGCGCCTTCATCGAAGGAAAGAAGACGAACTCACGGAAAGATGCGAGAGGATGTCTCAGCAGGTCCAAGATCTGAAGGTAAGTCATGGGGGTGCAGAATGCACGCGCGCACATCTCCTTTGAAAGCTTGCGCATGGCGCAAATTGCTGGATGTCACATTCATGAAGAGGCAAAAATGCTCTGATAAATTTTATGCTAGCTATACGAGAAGCCACTACTTCGACTTTGGTACGCTTAGCGTCAATTTGACGCCAAGGGTGGGTGGTGGTGGGGCGGGGTGGGGTGGCGGGTGGTGGGTAGGGGTTCCAGGCTTGTGATGCTAAGAGAATATGTAATTGACACAAAATCGACATAGCGCCTTCCCTGAGTGCAGTCAATATCTGATACCGCTACGCGAACGCAGCATTTTGAGGGAACTGCACTGAAGGCCGCACAAGGTTGCAAGAACAGTGTACCAGAACCGCGCAAGTCTCCGTTGAGCAAATGGCTCGCAGAATGCGAATTGAAAGGTGAACACAACATGCCTTGTATCTTAAATATTAATTTTGGAAAGAACAAGCTGGTTAGTATTTTGCCTGCCTTGAACGTTGCAAACGCAGAGACTATGTGGGCGCTTGTGAATATTTCACGTCACGCACATTTCCTTGGAACGTAATTGGGGATCAATTAAAATTAATGTATTGTGGCTTAGAAGGGTGATGCTCCAACGACACTCACACAATCGTTTAGCTAACGTTTCGTTGGTTTATTACGAGCACATAATTGTTGCCTGCTGTCCACAGTAATTTCCAACATCAGATGAATTGAAAGCCAGAGCTGAGCTCAATTAGGTGCAGTTTCATATGCTGTGCGTTACGCCCTTAAGCATTGTGTTCCAGTGCTGCCACACGAAATCAATGCACCACACGTCATCCATCTGTCGAAACGCCCGTTTGCCATGCGCATTGTGACGTGAGCGTCAGCCGCATGGCGACTCCCCATTTTCTGAGCGTACATTCCTTATTCAGCAAATGCTCGCTTCTTCGAGAAAGTCGGCGGAGGAGTCCCTCGACTGGGAAAGGGGGAGGTGCAGCAAGCTCATCAACGAGACGGAGAGGCTTGCTCAGAGAGAAAAGGAACTGGATGAGGAGTGCGGCAACGTGCACGCCCAGGTGGATGAGCTGATGGAGAGAAACGACAGGCTGCAGCTGCAGCTGGAGGACATGGATCGCCAGAGGAATGCAGAGTGCCAGAGGTCTGCTGAGCTGGAATTCCAGGTGCGCGGACTGAAGCCCCAATGTACAAAACCGTGGTCTGGATGCCATGCCCGAACGTTGGCTGGTTGGGCGTTGGTGCGGCCGTTATCGCAAGCCGCGTGCCGCATTTTTTCCTCCTTTTTGAAAGCATGCAGTCTATTGATTTCCCAAGAGAATTTTGCGACATTGAACGATTTTCTCGTTTGTTTTCTTCTGCAACTATCAGTGCTAGTCTAGAGCGATTCTGGAGATTATCACCGCCGGTTTTGCATACATGGCTATTTATTACTTGGAAACTTGAAGTCATATTTGCAAGCATCAACAGGTATTTCAGTGCTCATCACCTGGGAGTTCTCGTATAACAAGCATACATCTGACCCAAATGTCGGTTACTGCTTTGCCTTACCATCTATTGTGTATCTAAAATATCTTCAAGTGGATGTTTGTCAAATGTTTTACGAAATTCCATTTTAAGGAAGGAGCAGGATCTTCGTTGCTGCATATTCAGCCATAAACAATGCTATGCTCCATCGTGAATCATTTGGAAGTTCTGGCTGAACGAAAATTGCGGAAGCTATAATGCTTGCAGGGGATTGTGGGCCTCTTCAACCAATTTGATGAGCTTGATCCTGGTGGAATCACTCCTGTCACTTCATTGCACAACTGTAATTTTGCGCCCACTCTTTAAATTTAGGCACCCGTGATACAAAATCTGGGGAACAAGCCCTCGCCTGAGCACGTTTTGGACACCTACGCATAATAGAAGAAATAGGGCATAGATAGCAACGCAGTCCAAAAACCGATCTGCATCAATTTATGACAGAAATTCTGACATCAACAGCACAATACACGATACAATTGCGAAAATTCAGTACATGCAAATGGCAATGGCAAGGTGCCGTCCAAGGGAGTACCTGAATGTGTATTTATAATATCCACTTCTACTGCACTCTTGCTGTGGGGCTTCTTGCTCATCTGCCGATCTTGCAAGCCCGGAGCTGAGTATTAATTCTCCTTGTCCGATATACGTCGGACTGCGTGGATCGGAGGATAATGCAAGGTTTCTTGAAACTCGCTTCAAATTGTAACTTGGGCGGGTCGATGGTCCGCGACGGAGGGAACACAGCACAACGCCTACGTGCTTTGTGAGCGAAATCCTTACTCCGTAGATTGAACCCAACAATAATACTTGCTCGCAATGCTGTGTGTGAATGCTTTGCCTGATATTGGTGCGCAATTAGCAGTATGCACTACTTGCAAAGATGAAAATGAGATGCCGCCTAGTAAGACTGTGCATCGCTTCGACATTTACTGTCTGCACCATTCTCCTCGAAGCTGTTGGTAAAAGCTGCAGATGAGTATATAAGCGTTGTAATCCAAAGTTGATCCTCCATCTCAACCACTCCCGGAACAAGTTCAAAACTTGTCCCATTCAAGCAATGGTGGATGAATGCTCTGAAATACTGCGAACTCCATAGGTCTCATCTCTGCAGTCAGCTGTGGACTCGTTGCGAGGCGAGAAAACGAGCGGGGAAAGCAGCCTCCGCAGCAAAGTTGAGTGCCTGCTTGGAGAGCTTCACAGCGTCATTCGAGAGAGGGACGACCTTAGGATAAAGCTCCAAGAGTCGTCAGCTCAACTCCACTCGACTCTGGCCTCCCATGAGCACATGCAGCGAGAGAACCATCAGCTGAAGGATACGAACAGCAGCTTGAACAAATCCAAGGTGATTGAGTTCGCTGGCGATGCATCGCGAACTATCCACGGACAGTTTGAAAGCTCAGTCCCCAGTTTATGTGTCGGGACACCATCTTCAGTTAAGGACAGCGAGGTTTTGAGATTTAAATTCTCGAGCTGGTCATTCGCAAATAAACACTTCATGTGCTTGCCCTTTTCAATGGATGTAGATTCAGAATGCTGCCATGCCAGCGAAGACGTAACCTTGTTAATGGGTGGCCGTTTCCTGCGCCATTCTTTCCCACGACTCTTCCCAGACTCTGACCGTGACCCTATGCGTTTATTTATTTGTTCACTTATTCCGCCTGTCCCAAGATAGCCCCCAAGGCAGACTACTTTGTCCTCGCCTCCAGACTCAGCCACATCAGAAAACGTAATAAATGGCCATCAAACCCCAGGCCCCAAAGCTGCAAAATTTGTCATTCGCTGACTTCACAGCGCCTCGCATGAAATCCTCTGAGCGCCTCACGCCGAGTCGGACTGCCTTCCGCAGACGCTGCTCCAGGACACAATGCTCGAGCAGATCGGTGCTGTGCGGTCTCAGCTGGACGAGGCCAAGTGCCGGAACCAGGAGCTCGGCAAGGCGATAAGCCGCAGCAAGCTGGCCAGCAGCGTGCCCTCCAGGCCCAACCTGTCCTTCTCCCTGGACGCCCCCAGGCCTAGGTCCGCAGGGGCGGGCGCAACCCCCGGAAACCTGTCCCCGCAGGACCCGGGCCACACGCCTGGGTCGTCCAACGGCCTTGCGACGGACTCCACTGGCGCGTCGGCGGCGGTGAGGGAGTGGAGAGAGGCAGTGAACGATCAAATGAAAGGTGGGTGCGATCCTTTTGTGAGCAGGATGGAAAGCGTCGCGGGAAAAAAGTTGCATATCCTGGACATGCCTATCCAAAATACGGGCGCAAGGATGCCAGGACATGGCTGCCCGAATCCTGGGATGCGGCCAAATCCTTGCCCATATCGTCGCCGTGTACCAGATATGGCGCCCATATCGTATTCGGTTTCCAGAATATGGGGGTTCACATGTGCTACTCCATATCCAAGGACATGCGAAATTTGCCCGACGGTGACGTGCGGCGGGAACGCGCCCTCTTGGGTGCGATGGGTGTCTGCAGCACATGCGTCGCAGCGATGGATAGCTGCTGATCGTGCTGGTCTGATGTGCGAATGATGGGGTTGGGGTGGATGCTATAGTGAATCAATTCCTTGGCAACTTTCCGTACCGAGCCGTTCCCTTTATTCAGTTCAATGCGCTATGTCGTTTAATAGCCTGATGAAAGATGCAAGAACTCGTCACCCCGTACATTTAGTCCATTTCAGATTGAGGTGGATGTCAATGACCCGTTCTGTTACGTGCGTGTGTACGCTAAGAGAGATTCCATCTGTTGCATGGCTGCTGTACCGCGGCCATCCATGATTCGTTTTCTAGTGTGTCCTTTGGGGGCATTTTGTCAATGTTAATGCAGAAAACGTCGCCTGAAATGTGGCAAATAGGTTGAACATTGCGATTGGTTGCAGCTTGGCATTTGTCATCGTGTTGTACGTACTTTTAGCATGCTTGGGACAGAAATGTACAGCTGTTCGAGGACATATATCGCGTGCATACATGGCAAACATTGCTGCTGCCAAGAAGTTTTTAATGGAATTCTTTAATGAATGTGTGCATTATGGCGGGCACTTCATTTTCTATCATTACGTTTTTACATAGGGAGCTACAGATGTCTCTAGCAATTGCTGCCTGATTCTCAATAAAATGCTTGTGGTGGCACATGCAACTTATTTTGGGGCAGGGTCGATACGCAAAGACGAGGTGGTTTGAGAATGCATATAGAGGGATTCATTGGCTAAACGACCTTCGAAGGTTGATGCAATTATCTACATGTACAAGCCAAATATGCATTTCCTGTCTATTCAGAATATGGACAGCAAACGCCCACAAAAGAGGGATCTAAGACAGCTCTTTTGATATGTGCCACGTCTTCTCATCATACACAATCTTGCATTTCATTGGTGTGCAACGTTAAATCATTTCTCATCACAAAAACGGATACAATCAGGCCTGTTTAAATCGACGCGATAGGAACGTGTTTCGCCCAATTAGACCAATGCTCATCCATGTGCCTTGATTGTCAGGTATTTCAGCCGATGTCCACGCCAACCGGCCCTCGTGTACATTGGAGGAACTGGCTCGATACGGGATTTAGGATGCGAATGGGGATATAGGTGTGCTAGCTAGCTTATGTACTACATAAGGGTCTACTAGACGGTTGCAGAGATATAATTTGAGGCTGACTGATTATATTATTTCCCTTGGAAAATGATCCAGGATCTTGAGATCTAGTTGCAGGGTTACGATGAGAAAGGTGGAGTGTCCATTGAATCTTCAAGTCTGGCGGCAGCTGTGTGAAATTTTACCATTTTTACTGGAACAGCATGAATAAGTGATGGCCATGCTCAGGGATGATATGTTTTTGGTTCTAAGAACGATGATGGACATTTTGATGTAAATTCGTGATTTGCGTTTTGCCGCGATCTGGGTCCCTTACAAGTCGATGCATCGCTCTTTTCGTCTGTAATTACAAGTGTTTATGAGCTGCAATCCACCTATCGTTGCTGATCCTCGCAAGGATGGTGGCAGCATAAAATGACCGTATTTTGGTTGACTCAAACTATCACAATAAGAAATGGGTAATGTTCCCTTAAATGCAAGAAGAGTCTTTGCATTTTGCGGCTGCGTTGACAACACCCATGAAGTTGGAACTTCCCCTGGGCACTTTTTATTGTCTAACCGACTACTTGATGCCATGGTTGACGATGGGTGCAATAATAGAGTCATGCAATTCTCATACGCATGTGCTCTCCCACGCCTTGTGGTAAGACGTGAATTTAGAATTGTCGGGGCTGACAATTTGAGTTCAGTGGTGGTACGTTGGAACAATAAGGGACAGCACATGAAATCCAGCACTGCTTTCAACAGTTTTTCTTGCAGCGGATTAACGCATTCGCCATCACATGGTGCTCATTTTCGCTTGTCCGATACTTAGCAACTTGTTGCGCAGTGTCCATCGAAAATGAAGCAGCGCACACATGCGTATACGAAAAATACCGCCCCGCGATTGATGAGCGCAGCGCAGCCATCATCCGAAGAAGTAAACTTGTCAACACTGATGTAAATAAGAGGAATTCACAAAAATCTTGGACAATCATGCAATCAACACAATCATGCACCCAAGCACAGATTTCGCTCGAGCAGCAACGGCTTGCGTGGTCCTGCGAAGAGAAAAGTATACCGCGAAAAGTAAATGAATGATCAAATCAACGCTGCCATTGCAGGCAGGAGTGGAACTTCAATTTGGCGATGCGCATTTGTGAGCATGATTTTGAGACAGTGTTAGCTGCAGGCAATATGTGCAGACATTTCTCCAAGTTGTGCTATCACTCATGAAACATAGTGCATGCATGCGTCGATTGATTCAAATCTTGTAAATCATAGCTCTTGGTGCGTCAGAACCGGCAATGTTGGTGTACGCATAAGGCTGTACGATTCATGTGAGAGCTTCCCCAAGCATCCACTTGGATGCTGTGGATACTGTGCACAGGTCACATATTGAAAGGCCTCTGCAAGTTCAAGCCTGACTCCTTCCAACGCAGCTGCTGTGCGCCGCTGCGGCGACAACACTCGTGCTGTGAGAGGCATGCTTGCTCCGTGCAGCCGTTGGAGGCCGGTGTAAGATAGAGATACACATTGGAGGAGTCGGCGAAAGGGCAGTGTTGAACACCAGCACAACTTATGTTGCGTGCGTTTCAGCGCCGTTGGGTGGCACAGGTCGAGCCAATCTGGGATCCCTCGTGGTTGACTGTCCAGGCGATTGCCATGCACTTGGATTGCGGTTATGGAGACTGCGGATGCAGGTAAAGTTAAAGTTGGCCATTTCCAGGCCATAAATGACATGGCAAATGTCTCCATCAACTTCATTTTCCCAGCATCTACCGGCAATATTGCCAGCAGCATCGACTGACCACCATTAGTTACATCCTCAAAAGCATATTACATCTGAAGACAGCGGCAGCATGAGAAGCGCTCAAGAAGCGACAATCCGACCAGAACTGTACAAGATCAATCCGCTCAGCAATCAGAATTCCGGAACCAGTTCCAATGAACAGTGTCACTACCCTTCATGACCAACTACGCATCCACGTGCAAGGTCCCGTCCGACTTTGACGCCCAGCATGGGATAACGACATCCTCTCACACGCCCACAAGCCGTCAAGCGACCAGTCCGACATCCAAACACCGTCCAAGACCCCAAAACGGCAAAAGCGCACAGCCGCGCTTCCCTGCAATCTGACCGTCCTGCACAGCGCACCCCGCCTCTCACTCCCACTGCCCAGCAGCTGATTGGCGGTTTCCCAGCAGCCATGACTGCGACGCGATTTCGCCAAGTCGAAAGTTGGCGTTTCCTCGTCGCCCAGTGGCTCGCCCTGGGCGACCTCTGGCTCTCGAGATGGTACCTCGAGAGGTCTGACTGTCCCCCTGGCTACTGGAGCTTCGGGCTTACTGTGATCCTGCCATTCAGCGAGGAAGACGCTCAGTGGCTGCATCACCAGCGAGAGCACGGGGAAGAATCGCTGCGGTATAGGCTGCAGGAGGAGGCGCGCGAGGCGTACTACCGCACCGTGTCAACTCAACTTACGTCAGGACATGTGCCTGGGCCAGGGGAGAAGCCGGACTGGAATCCTGACTACAAGCCGGAGGCCATGTACCGCCCCTGGGCACTCCAGGTGCACCCCCATCCAACACGACCGTACACTGGCATGGGGACGCAGGCGTTCCGTCAACGTATTGCGGCGATGATCGAACGCGAAGGTGGACGGATCCAGGCTTGGCGCGGCGCGGAGCTCAACTTTTTTTATCGCCAGGTACATGTGAGCCTTGACATCAGTGTACCGCACTCCGATGATCGCTGCTGGCGGATGGAGGGTGGGGGCGTCACTCGCCGTGAGTATGCGGCCACGCATCCGTCCAGCGCCTCCGAGGTATTCCCACGCGATCGAAAGGACTTCGGGATTCAGACGGAGCCAAATGCGGCCGTACTGCCCTCCGCCGCCTTCGCGGAAGCCAGCGCGCTCGTGGCTCGACGCCTCAATGCGGGCAAGGAACCGTATACAGCCGTGGAGCTGCGCGCGGAGGAGCGGGCCTGGCGGAGGGCCATCCGACGTCAGCGACGCGAGGCGAGGCGACAGGGGCAAGTCCACGATGACGTCATGGAAGAAGCGCCCGCTGGTGGACCAGCCGCTGTACCGGCAACCCTCGGCACGACCGCGATGACGACACCAACCCTGCCACCTGGTTTTGATGGGACACACAACGAGAGGGCGATGACGCCATCGTTCCCGCCAGGATTCGGGGGCTAAGGGGCACGGACTACGGAAAGTTGGTAGACGAGCCAGCGATCGTGACAGGACGGTGCCCGGGCTGGCGGATGACGCGACGACTGGAGGCCGCCTGGAGCCAGCTGGCGCGGCTGGAGCTGTCCAAGAGAATCTCTGGCGAGGGAGGAGTGTGAGAGGGTCTGGCTGGCATGCGATTGTACGGGACGGACTGTAGCGGAAGGAGATACTGATTGGGTCTTTTCTTGTCCAGTGGTGTGAACGGACTTGGAGAGGTGACGAGAGGGGGTGAACCCATGTGCAACAGCTGTATCGGACAAACGATTCTGTAATAAAAAGCCGCGGGGAGTCTGTCCCGACAGCTCTCCGGCAGGCCCCTGTGTGACAAAGAGTGTCCCAGCCGCCTGTACCTCCCCGCCGTCGCACCACAGCCCCCCGCCAGGCTCGGCCACCGCTGGCCTTGCCCCCTCACGTTACCCGAGAGTACGTGAGCCGGCCTAAGGAGCCTCGGGGCCCTGTGGTGTACCGCGCACTCACGCCGAGTGCTGGTGAGACGTTTGTGGGATCCGGAGTGACTGAGGGCGGCGCATTACGCAAGGCGGGCGCCGTCGCTGGTGCTGGAGTGCCGTAGCACCCTACGGGAGTGCGGATCGGCCGGTACGCGCAACGAGTGGACGCGGGGAGGACGTTGCGTCGTACGGAACTGGTGGAGGCCTCTGCGGTGAGGTGCGCGATGACTATGAGCTTTCCGGGATCGCCCGTGGAGGGGGCTGCCGTCATGGCGGCGTTGGCTGGCGCTGTCGGACGGGGTGTGAGGTTCCTGGGCGCTGGCATCCAGTGGATTGGGGACTTCTTGGTGACCCTACTCGGGTGGCTGGCCTGGATGCTGAATATTGATGAGACGAAGACGAATTCCATTATAGGAGCGGTCAGAATGGTTTACAATGGCCTGGCCCTCCTCATTTTGTTCAACATGACTGCCGCCATTTTCTGCGCAATGGGGCAACTTCTGCATGGTTTCGGAGCCGAGGTAGGCTCGCTGGGAAGGGATCTGATGCTGCATGGAAGGACGCGGAGGCGCAGATCTGCGTGGACCAAGAGGCTCCCATTCTGGTTCATGTTTTTAGTTATCATGGGAATGGCTACGGAGGTGACTGCATGGTCAATGTATGAAGTACCTGCGGCAAAGGAGGCATCGAAAGCTGAAAAGAACCATCTGTACACTGCCCAGAAAGGGGCACTGGTCCATCAGTCTGTCTGGGATCGCATGGCGTCTTTTTGGTGGGAGAGGCTGGTAAGAAACGACGATGACGTGGAAATGGATTTGCCTCCCAGTCCGCCAGAAGGCTATGGACAAGATTTCAAGAGCTGTGGGACAATTCGATGCAGTTTCTATGCACTCCAGGATCAGGCGATTGATTTGCTGATTGATGCCATCACGAATCCAAGGAAGATGTTTGAAAGGATACAGGATGCTGGAGTGTACGTCCTGGAGCATGGCCTACCGTGGTGGAACGAGATCCTGGGTATATTGATCCTATGGGGTTTGATCAATCTTTCGTCAACGATATGGATGCGGATTGAAGACATTTTCCATGCGATATACCGATGTGGATGCGCTTTTTTCCAGTCGCCGGTTTTTATTCTGTTTGGAAGATGGAAGGCTACTATCAAAGAGATGTGTGACGAGGGAAAGGATTCAGAGGATAAGAAGGACGACAAGAAGAAGGGAAACAAGAAACAAACTACTATGGTGAAAACTGGTGGGAAAAGTGTGAGAAAGGAGAAGGAGGGAGCTGGAGAAGTCAGTAGT